CCTGCCGAGCGCCGGGGGCCGCAGGGACCTCGGGGGGCTGCGGGGAGCAGCACAGCACGCTGGGGACCACTCGTGTCTCTGCAGCTTCTGGGCTCGGCCTGGCTTTGCTGAACTCGGACAACACCCTTGGAATGGAAAAGGAACAGAGCTGCAATCAATAAGAGCTGCAAAATAAGTTATTGCAAGTTCTAGCCAAAATTGCAAAAATAAGTTATTGTAAGTTAAAGGGCTCTGTGGGGTGGTGGGAGGCACGGCTGGGAAATCACAGATCATCGTGGTGTGTTAGAGGGTTGGGATGGAGCTCAGAGATCATCCAGCCCCAACCCCTGCCCTGGGCAGGGACACCTCCCACCAGAGCAGGTGGCTCAAAGCTTTGGACGCTGCCGGGGTGGGGGCAGCCACAGCCTCCCGGGGCAACCTGAGCCAGGGTCTCACCACCCTCACAGGGAAAAACTTCTGCCTAAGATCTACTCTCAATCTCCCCTTTCAATTTCTTCCCACTGCTCCTTGTCCTATCCCTACAATTATCCCACAGATAACTGTTGGCATCAGTGGGATTTCCCAGCCATGCTGTGCTGCCAGCCCACAGAGACCAGCAGTGATGCTGAGTTCTTTCACATAATTAGGATTTGCAATAATCCCACAGAGAAATGTGGGATTTGTGCCCCACAGAGCAGTGCCAGCCCCGTGGCAGGCAGCAAGACCCTGCTGCAAAGGATGCATCTCCCAGTCACACACACTGATGGGGTTTAATGGGGCTCTGATGGAGGGAGGGAGAGCACTGGGTGCTCCCCACAGCTCCAGCCATGGAGCATGTGCCAAAATTCATCTGTTTTCGCTAATGAGCAATTAACAGTGGAGCCTGGCCAGAGCAGAGGCTGTTCCCATGGCCCTGCTGCACCGCCAGCACAAGATTAAAACTCCAACCAGAGTCTCCATCACGAGTTTAATCCAATCAAGGCAGGTTCTTCCAGGATCAGGGCAAGATGTAAAATCCTGGAAGTAGGGAATGATGCGGTTACAGATGGGGAAGCACAGCCTGTAGCTCCAAGCCCTCCTGAAGACCCTCAGTGGGAAGAGAGTGCTTCACCAACAGCACCCTAATGCTCCCTCAGAGTCACATTTTAAGGGTGGCATGGAAAATATTCACTGATTGCTCAGAGCTTATATAACCCTGGAAATCTTTGTGCTGGGTGCTTGGCAGGAATAAATCACAAGGATGACAAACCAACAGCCTCCCTGCTCTGAACGATCTGCACAAGCTGCAAATTGCAGCCTTTCCCTTGACCAAACTCCTTTCTTTCCTCTCCATGCAAAGCCCTGGAGCATCCCCCAGTGTACACCGGGAGATGTGACATTCCTGAAACTAGGGAGCAGCATTTTTCTGACGTTTCTGCCCTGCTGAAGAGGACAGACACACACTTCAGTGGTGAGGAGCTCATCTGGTGTGGCAGCAGGGTCTCAGCAAGCCCTGCTGAGTGGTTTGTAAAAAGAACAAAGGCTCTTTGCAGGAGGGGGGAAAAAAGCGTGTTAAATAAAACAAGGAGAAAGGATTGCTGTCTCTAGAGAGAAAACAACGAGCTTAGGGAAGGCTAAGAGATCTGGGGAACAACTCACTCTTGCAGGGACCTGTCCAGGTCCTCGGCAGTGGCGGTGCCCAGGTCGGAGTCGCAGGACAGCGGCTCCTCGCTCCGCTCGGGGCTGCGGGCACAGGGAGCAGGGGCAATGCCATCAGAGCCCAGGCTGGAGGAGAGCTGAGATGAGCTCGTGGTGTTCAGGCTCAGCGAGGACGACGTGAGCTTGACCTTGCTGCTGGCTTTGCTGATGGGCAGGACAGAGGGTTGGATCTCGATCTCGTCCGACCCCGAGGACTGCGAGATGGAGCCCAGCGACACCTTCCTCCGCGGCTCGGCCGTCAGGGGCTCCAGCAGCTCCACACCCGGACACAGCCCCGACAGGCACAGCGGGGTGACGGTCCACTCGTTCAGCACTGCTGACTTGTAGGACAGCTCGAAGGTTAGGGAGGACAAACCCTGCAAGTAGCAGAGGAGGAACTCGCACTCCTCGGCGTCCAGGAGCAGCGCAGGCGCCTGGTAGTACTCGGGCAGGCGGGAGCAGTCCCGGAGCAGCAGCTTCAGGTAACACTCCATGAGCCCATCGTTCAGGGCCAGCCTCAGCCAGGCACGGCAGCGACCCACGTCTGTGCTGATGAACATCAGCTGCTCCAGCTCGGACACAATGTTCCTGGGGAAGGAGAGCAAAGAACCGAATGGGACGTGAGCAGCTCTGTTTTGGTCCGTCACGGGGCACAGGAACTGCCCAACGTGCTCTGCTGTGGGAAGTTCAGGAGCTGGGATAAAACAGGCTGTGGAAAAATCTCTTTCCTTCACAGAAAATGTGGTTTTCCATGCAGAAAAATAGCTCCTGAATGCCCCAAATGTGTTGGGAAGGAGTCCAGGCAGCCCTGGGGTGCCTCTGGTGCTCCTCCTCTCTCTGGCTGGAGGTATCTCCCACCCACCTCCTGCCCTGGACCAACAATGCAGGGAGGGAAATTCCCAGTGTCCCTAGTGCTGGTGAGGTTTGCTCTGACTGGATCCTCCTTGGTGACAAATGTGTGTCTAAATCCAAACTTCAAATTTAAAATCGGCCCAAACACAGGGAAAACAGCTGTGGCAGCCCCAAAAAACAACCTTGCTCAGGTTGAGGTCCCCAGGCAGTCTCAGCCTCCTGAATTCAACTGCTCTTCCCTAAAATCCAACAGCGCCACCACACTCTCAGCTCCTCAGGGATCCCAGCTCACACCTCAAAAACCAGAGCAAAAGTTCTGCAAGGTTTCGTTTTTAATCTGTCTCTCAAGACAGAAGCAAAACCCCTTCAAAGGGCACAAAAATATCCCCTGTAGCACATGAAAGAGTTATTTTCATCTGCTCTTCCATAATTCAGGAGTCGGTGACGGAGCTGGATGAGGCTTTCTGGATGACTTGTGTGTGGGCTGTTATTTACTGTGGGAGAACGTTGCTTAGGGAGTGGCTCAGAACAGCCCCACCAAATAATAGTCAGCCAGGAGAGACCTCCTCAAAGGATGTGGGGAAATGGGGCCAAGCAGCCCCAGCAGATCCAGGTCAGGGCAGACCAGATCCCTGTGCTGCACATCCCATCATCGACTGCTGCTGGACACCAGTGCAGCCACCAGAGTCCCCACACACAGCCTGGCACCCAAAAATGAGTGAGAAAGGAGTGTGCCTTGTGTTCCATTCCCCAGCTGTCTGGGGACGTCAGTGTGCCGACCCCTTTTGGATGGGCACTCACCGATGGGTGATGCTCTTCAGCAGGCCCCAGAAGACAGGCTGGGGAAGGGGTCCTCGCCCCCCTGACTTCTTCCCTTTCCCCCCACTCTCTGCCTTGATGTGCTTTGCCTTCAGCCCGTGCACAAACACAGCTTCCAGGGCACTGCAGAGCGTGTTGGCGTTCCCATCGTCGCTGGTGACGACGGCGTCCGAGCTCACGTACTGCTTCTGCAGAGCCTTGATGGCATTCACCAGTTGCTTCTTGATCAGCTGCAAGGCAGGAGGGGCATGCTTAGACTACAAAAACCAAGGCAGCAGGAAGGATTTCATGTAAAAGGGCTCAAACCCACCAGGCTCATCCTGAGTGAAGCACCAGTGACTGCTGCCTCAGCCTTCACTGTGGCTCTAGTGGGAGCAGCATCACTGGGCTGGTCAACTTCCACACTCACTCTTGGCCTGACAGTTCATGTAGCTTAGTTTGTGTGAATAAATACTAATGCATGCAATTTGAGCTGGAGCTTTGGAGCTGGGGCTGCCTTTGGAGCATGTGGTGCTTCCTCTGCAGAGAGGAAAAGGCTTAAGGGGATGAGGAAGAAAAGAAATCGGCTCATTCCAAGGCTCTTTCTTGGGGAAGACATGAGGATTAAAGAGAAAGGAGAAACTCAGAGGGAGAGAGAAGGAGAAACTCAGAGGAGGGAGCAGCCCCTGAACTCGTGCAGGTCAGCCCAAGCAGCATGTGACAGGCCCCTACCCGCAGGACTCAAAGCCAAAAAAACGTGCTGGGTAACCCTCAGGGGCTGCAGGGGTTTGGGCACTGGGCTTTGGCTCCTGCCTTTGGTGAGTTCTGCAGCTGAGACATGGGAATTTTACCTTCCAGCCATTTTACTTTCCTCTGCCAGCAGCTGAAAGCAGGAAGTTCAGGGAATTTAACCACTCATGCCAGTGCAGAGGATATTTTCCTAACACAGCTGAGCTGTGTGTCTCAATTGACCCGACTTCAAATCAAGGGTGTGTTTCCAGCAGGCACTTGGAAAACACCACAGATTCCACTGGGATCTCACCAAACAATCCATGCCTTGGTACCACACAGTATTCCAGGCCAATGCTGAACATTCCCTGACCAGGGCTGGGCAGATTTTGCCTCGAGCCTGGATTGGCTGCACCAACTCACACTACATTTCCAGCCTGGCATAATTTTTTCAGCATCTAAACACGACTTCCAGCAGGTGTAGCTCAAGGACAAGAGCCAGGGGAGCACGTCCCTTATTGGAGTGCTGTTTTCCAGCTGCCCCCCACATCTGCTGGCTCAAACAAGAGTTTGGTGTGATTTAACCCACAGACACCTGATTTCCTTTAACCCCTCAGACCAGACAAACCATCAAGGATGCCCTCCCAGTCCCAGTATAAACCATCCCAATCCCAGCTGGAAGCCCTACCACGTGCCCAGCAGTGACTGGGCAGTACCTAGAGCTGCGTGGGCAGCACTGGGGGGCCTGGCTCACCTGTATGGCCTCCTTGGAGTCAGCAGTGTGGCTGGAATGCATCTCGGCTGCCGCCGCTCCCCGCGCCGGGCACTGCCCTCACATGTCACCTGGGGACAAGGAGGAGCTGTCTGAGCACCCAGAAGGATCACACCCCACTCACCTGCCAGGTGAGAGGCTCTGGTGCCACACAAACAAGAGCATTTTGGGGCCAAACCCCACATGGATCCTCAAGTGTTTTCAAACTTCACAGACAATTTCAGAGAAGAGGAAACTGTTTTCACTGCAACTTGTCATAAGATTTCCTCTCTTTGGGTTGCAACACAGAAATGGGGGAGTGCAGGGATTACAGCAAAGTTAACCCCTGGCTCAGAGGCTCGAGGTGCTGATGAGGGTTTGGGGGAGGGAGGAGACCCTGAAGTGGCAGCAGCAGTTGATGAGGGTTGCAGAGAGGCACCCCACTCTCTGCCCTCCACCTGGGAGGCTCTGACTGCTCAGGCCCAGGCAGTCTCTGCCCCTTTCCCCACCACCTCCTGCTACACCCTGAGAACAGGGCTGGGAGACCTGAGGGCTGGGGGAGATGCAAGGGTGAGAAACCCAAGGGTGGGAGAAGACCCAAGGGTGAGCACTGGGCCCTCTCATGCCCAGAGAGGCAGTGTGGGTGTTTCAGCTCCAGGACTGCACCCACTGTCTGTGCTCTCAGCATTGGCCACCACAGCATCATGAGCTGTCATAGGGAAAGGGAAGACACTGCTGGTTTGGCAAAGACCTCATCTAAGTCTTACAAAGACCTCATATGAGTTTCAGGAAGCAAGTGGTAACCCCCCCAAAACAAATGCTCCTTTTCCAGCATCACCTCTCCCAGTGCCTGCAGGAGGTGAGACACCAAGGACACCCACTGCCTTCCCCACGGGACTCTCCATTCCCACCATGACCAGTCCAACCAGTTTGTCCCAGTGCCATGAATCCACACAGCACCACTTCTGTTGGGACAACATTTCCTGAATAACAAGTGCAAGGAACCAGCTCCCAGCTGGATTTCACCCAACACAAGCCTTGGTGAAACACAGCCCTGCTGCTGGCTCTAGAAGGAACCAGAGGGCTCTGGAGCTCTCTCAGGCAGACCCTGGAGTGCCATGGCTGTTCCCCATGATCTTGGAAGGCTAAGACAGGATGGATGTGCAAACACAGACACAAACCCACCTCCAGCAGAGAAAACCCATGAGGTTTCCCCACAGTCACCATCCCAGCACCACATCTCGAGTGAAACAGAGAAAACCAAACAAATGAGAAACAACCCCAGGCAGGGACCTGGCACGGTTCGACCTACCGAGGAGGAGAGTCATCAGAACCAAGGCAGAGCTGCTAATCTACCAAACTGCTGCCAAACAGCCAAATTCCTTGAGAACAGCCTGCTGGGGTCTCCAAGCCTTGTGCCAGCAGAGGCAGAGCCCCCTTCCCAGAGCTCAGCTCCTCGGTCTCCCAACGCCGCTGCCCGAGTTATAAATAACCAGCAGGTCACTGCCAGTGCTGTGTGGATGGAAAACAACAGCCCACAACACGGCCTGAACCGGTGACTCAAGGCCTGGACGCAGAGCCAGTCATTTTCCAAGCACGAGTGCCACACCAGTCACCCTCTGCCCTGGGGATAGTGGGTCCCAGGGCTGGAGTGGGGACAGCCCTCTCCTCCCACACAGCCTCTGCCTTCCACCCGGCACTGTGTGCTCCTGGCCATGCTGGAAACACAAGCTGAGCTGAAGTAGAAGCAGCCCAGGAGCAGGAGAGCCAGCTGGCAGGGCCGGGGGTGGCTGGGAGGAGGATAAACCCCTCTGTGAGGGGCAGGGCAGGGCTCAGCCCCAGCTGGCAGCAGGACTCTCATGCTCTGACTGTGGCTCCTTCCCTGCACCCAGCCTGGCCTGATCCAGAACTGCTGCGACTCCCACAGCAGGAACACAGCCATGGCATGAGGGACAGGCCCATCACACCACCCTCATCCCACAGAGCTGTCCTCCTCACAGCTGACAAACCTGATGCTGGCGGGAGAAGCGTCACCGATGAACACCTCCAACCTCTGCCCCGTGGGAGGAGCCAGGGGAGGAAGAGCAGCCACCAACCTCCCAGCGCTGGCCTGGATGATGAGACTGTGCTTCCCAAACACTCCAAACCAGGAATATCCTTCAGCCTGTTGCCTACTCCTGTACCAGGACACAGTTTTCTGGAGCAGGGAAGGCCAGGGCTGACTTCCCCCAGCGCTGCAGCCCACAGAGCTGCCACACACGGGCGAAGCAGGTTGTGAAACGCCCGACGTGTTGAGGCAAGGTATTCCCAGATTTATACTCCCAATTTTGGTGTGGCTTTGGATGTGCAGTGCTGGAGTCTCCTGGTTGATTTTCCTGGTGCCATCTGGCACGGCAGGCAGCTTGCATCCCTGGGCAGAGGGGTCTGGGGATCACTGGAAGGAAAAGAGGGAGAAATTAGCTTGTTGCACCAACATTTTCCACAAGAACTCATTTGCAACTGCTTGGAGCCCCATCACTCTGCACTCTCCATCATCCTGCACCCCACCATCACCCTGCAACTCTCATCACTTACACCCCATGGAGCCCCACCACCCTGCACCCCTCATCTGCACCCCATGGAGCCCCATCACTCTGCACTCTCCATCATCCTGCACCTCACCATCACCCTGCAACCCCCATCACCTACACCCCATGGACCTCCATCACCCTGCACCCCATCACCCCGCACTCCCCATCACCTGCACCCCACGGACCCTCATCATCCTACACTCCCATCACCCTGCAAACCCCACCACCCACACCCCATGGAGGCCGATCATCCTACACCCCCATCACCTACACCCCATGGAACCTCATCACTCTGCACCCCCATCACCCTGCAACCCCCGTCACCTGCACCCCACGGACCCCCATCACCTACACCCCTCACTCTCCATCACCTGCTCCCCAGGTGCCCCCCCCGTCCCTGTCCCTCTCACCTGTTCGGCGCCTCCGCCATAGGGAACCCGGAAGTGCCGCGGCCGCGCCAGGAGCGCGTCCCCCGTGACGTCACCACGCCGGTGGGCGGGGCCGAGGGACGTACGGGAACCGCGCGGGGACACGTGTGTTACATCCGCGTGTGCACCGACACACCTGGACACACC